ATAGATTATTTGTAGATCATGGCATTTTTTTAAGGTAAATTCTACATTCTGCATTTGAGAATTCTGAATAAATATTTTATAAAAGACTACTCAATTCCCTGAAAAAATACTGATTGGGTGTCCATTGTATGTAAGTCTTCATGTTGGATGAAGTCAAAGTATGGAGTTAATGAGTGACATAAATGCACAAAACTTTCATGTGGCTCTTTCAGTCTAACCAGGAAGATGATATATGCCTTCAGGTAACAGTGTTGCAGGGTGGAAGTGTTACGAGCAGATACAAGAGAAATAGCTAAAATTTTCGGAAAAGTTATTTCCAGCTGGAAGATTGTGGGAAGCTTGGTGGAATAGGTGATTATATCTGGCTCTTGAATGGTGTTTAGTGTTGGTCCTTTATTAGACCAGAACCTGGTGGTCCAGAGTCGACAATGAGAGAGTGAAAGAAGGAAAGAGGCTAATATTCCCTGGGTTATGCAGCCGGCTTTGGCGCTCCAGGGAATCAGCCAGAAATAGAGAGAGAGAAAGAAAGAAAGAAAGACATGGGGACCCAAACTCTGATGGAGCAAAGATGTTTTAATCAACATGGTGTGGGTATATATACTGTCTTACAAGGTAGTTATTCTCAGGAAAGATAAAGATTAAAATTTCAGACTTACAAAACACAAGGTCATCCCTATTAAAGAGAGAAGCGGGTACTTATCACCATAATGAGAAACTAACAAAGGAAATGCCTGGATTCCTCAGCCCCGGGAAAGCCCTGCCTCTCCTCTTAATTCCTGAATATTCAGAAATTAATAAGGACCAAAGGATTCCTGACAGATCCAAAACAGCACACAGGAAGTCTGTTAAATGCTTCCTGACAGTTTAGCAATTTGAATGAAGGAGAGCTGAAGAGAGAACTGATGTGGCAGAAACTCCAGGCAAAGGGGTAAGACAATCAGGGTGAAGCTGCGAAGCCGGGATCTGGCTCAGGAGAACAAAAATTGCGTTTGTGGGGTTTACAGGCAAGTAATAGAAAAATGACATAGGAGTGACCAGTTGAAGCCATAGAGAACTGTAAATCCTAAATCAAGTAGTTTGGGAATTTAAAGTTACAGACATTTAATATTTTTGAGCACAGTGGTGATATAATCTGAGCTAGCTTTTGGGACAAGTATTAGTAATTTCATTTGATTACCACCAAGACATAAGTGAGGAGACCAGTTAGAATACTATTCTGATGATCTAGACAGAAAGTGATGAAAGTTTGAACCACAGTGAGAACATAGGAGCAGGGCAGCTATCAGACAGCAAACGTAGTCCTCAAGTACAGTTTTTAGAAATTGACATTGAAGGTAATGACTTAAAATTGTGTTTAGAGTAACACAGACACCCAGGATGTTTGTTGAGGATAAGAAAAAAAGAGGGCAATTGGTGTATCAGCTTGTATAGTGTTTACAATTTTTTTTTTTGCAAAAGATAGTCTGAGGACCACCTGTCTCAGAATCTCCTGGGTTGCACTCTCTGTGAGAATATTTCTAAGCACAAAGCATGTGACCACTGGGTTAGAATTCCAACATAATGAGACCAGTGATATTAGTATGATTCCTATATCGACCTCTTAATTTTGAGATGTTGCTCCCAGCTCTCGTTGGCCTATCTTTGGACAAGAGATGGTCGGGAGAGAATAAATTATTATTCAGTGTAACATCTTTATTTCTCTTTGAAACCCACTCTATATTTATGCCAAATTATAGTAGATCTTACTGATCTCTTTTGATATTAAAGATGTGTAAGTATTTGGGGGTCCACTGCAGGGATGGGGGTTGGTAGTGCCCTGCCACTGGGACAGGGACACAAGCCGTGGGTAGTGCAGGGAGGCACATGTTGGCTACATCCTTTTGGAGGTCTTCCTTCAAAAGTGCTACCATAGAGCATGGAGACTGCAGGACTGAGTTCCCTCAGGCCAAACAAGTAACAGGAAGGCAGCACAGCCCCACCCATCAGAAGACTGCTGGATTAAAGATTTACTGAGCAGCCTTGTCTGACTCAATGAAACTATGAGCCATGCCATGTAGGGCCGCCCAAGACGGACAGGTTACGGTGTGCAGTTCTGACAAAATGTGGTCTACTGGAGAAGGGAATGGCAAACCACTTCAGTATTCTTGCCTTGAGAACCCCATGAACAGTATGACAAGGCAAAAAGATAGGACACTGAAAGATAAACTCCCCAGGTCGGTAGGTGCTTCTGGAGATCATGGAGAAATAACTCCAGAAAGAATGAAGAGACAGAGCCAAAGCAAAAACAACACCCAGTTGTGGATGTGGCTGGTGATGGAAGCAAGGTCCGATGCTGTAAAGAGCAACATTGCATAGGAACCTGGAATGTTAGGTCCATGAATCAAGGCTTCCAATCAAATTGGAAGTGGTCAAACAGGAGATGGCAAGAGTGAACACTGACACTTTAGGAATCAGTGAATTAAAATGGACTAGAATGGGTGAATTTAACTCAGCTGACCATTATATCTACTACTGTGGGCAAGAATCCCTCAGAAGAAATGGAGTAACCATCATAGTCAACAAAAGAGTCCAAAATGCAGTACTTGGATGCAATCTCAAAAATGATGGAATGATTTCTTTGTTTTCAAGGCAAACCATTCAATGTCACAATAAAGCAAGTTTATGCCCGACCAGTAATGCTGAAGAAGCTGAAGTTGAACAGATCTACGAAGACCTATAAGACCATCTAGAACAAACACCCAAAAAAGATGTCCTTTTCATTATAGGGGACTGGAATTCAAAAGTAGGAAGTCAAGAAACACCTGGAGTGACAGGCAAATTTGGCCTTGGAGTACAGAATGAAACAGGACAAAGGCTAATAGGCTATGACCAGTGTCAAAAGAACGCACTGGTCATAGCAAGCACCCTCTTTCAACAACACAAGAGAAGACTCTACACATGGACATCACCAGATGGTCAGCACCATAATCAGATTGATTATATTCTTTGCAGCCAAAGGTGGAGAAGCTCAATAAGACTCAGCAAAAACAAGACTGGGAGCTGACTGTGGCTCAGATCATGGTCTCCTTATTGTCAAATTCAGACGTAAATTGAAGAAAGTAGAGAAAACCACTAGACCATTCAGGTATGACCTTAATCAAATTCCTAATGATATACAGTGGAAGTGAGAAACAGATTTAAGGGACTAGATCTGATAGAGTGCCTGATGAACTATGGATGGACGTTTGTGACATTGTACAGGAGACAGGGATCAAGACCATCCCCAAGAAAAAGAAATGCAAGAAAGCAAAATGACTGTCAGAGGAGGCCTTAAAATAGCTGAGAAAAGAAGAGAAGTGAAAAGTGAAGGAGAAAAGGAAAGATACACCCATTTGAATGCAAAGTTCCAAAGAATAGCAGGGAGAGATAAGAAAGCTTTCCTCAGTGATCAATGCAAAGAAATAGAGGAAAACAATAGAATGGGAAAGACTAGAGATCTCTTCAAGAAAATTAGAGATACCAAGGGAACATTTCATGCAAAGATGGGCTCAATAAAGGACAGAAATGGTA